GAGGACATTTATCCAGCAAATCCCTGCCCCCGGCCAGGGGCAGCCAGCCTGCTGGGGCCCTGGGAATGGACAGAAAGGGTCCTGCCCTTTCAGGAACCTCAGACTAGCACACCTGGGGAAAGTACAAGGTCTTACTTGGCAGAATATGAAAAAAACCACATGACTTTGTATTTTATTTATGGGGTATTTCATAGCACAGAGAAAAGCATCAAGTTTGATTACAGTAAGTCTGCACTGCGGTGAATAAGACTGGTGGGGTAAGATAAACCTTCTTTTTGAAATAGAATTTATCCATTCAAAGACGAGATGGTTGGTTGGAGTGGGCAGATTTGATTTGCGAGACCATGGAGACTGTTTTTAAAGAATTTTTAAAACAGCCCCTGTAGGTCTGGCTCAGTGCATTGAGCACCGGACTGGGAACCAAAGAGTCACCAGTTTGATTCCCAGTCAGGGCACATGTCTGGGTTGCCCTGGTCCCCAGTAGAGGGCACTCAAGAGGCAACTACACATTGATGTTTCTCTCCCTCTCTTTCTCCCTCCATTCCCCCTCTCTAAAAATAAATAAATAAAATCTTTAAAAAGTTATTTTTGGGTATAGTAATAAATACATTTATTATGCATGTAAAAATCTTCTGAAATCTTTACTGGAAAATATCAGCTGGTAAAACAAAGGGGGAATCCCTGGGTCAATTCATATGTTTCTTGTCATGGGAATATTCCATTTATTACCCGTTTGTTTCCTTGATAGTATAAGTGCAGTTTTTATGTACATTGCTAGACAATACATTTGTTCCCCAGTTACTCAGTGTTCTGGATCCTGGAGCACTGTATCGTTATCTGGTGCTCTATGATGCCCAAATTGTGCGTGCAACTTCTGCTGACTTTGCTGTTGTTGTATGGGCAAAGATCATGAGGAACATATGGTTCTCAGTCTACCAAGACTTTCATGTCATGCTGTTACCAGAATGCTCAGACGTCCTGATTGGATGGGAAGGAGATTAGTTTTTTCCCTGGTGGAATAATTTCATTATAACAGAGGTGTCATCTCCTTAAGCTAAATGCGGAAAGAATAAGAGGAAGATTGCAGATCACAGAAAGAAATAGAAGACAGTATACTGAATTATGACATGACTTACAGAGCACATCATGATATATTTAAATGAACCCCTTAAATTTAGGTGACTAGATTGATCAGTTTGAATTCTCACTTTTCTCATTTGCATCACTTTTATACGGAAAGCACTCCCCACCATCTGGCTGATTTATAGACAAAACAGCACGTTCAGGGCTCTGACTCCCCTTGTCTGTCTGAGTTTGTGGAAGTGACATATTTAACCCCAATATCATTGCTCTGTTAGTCAGTACAGTATAACAGAAAGAGGCAACTCTCTCCTTACTTAAGGACTTCAAAAAAAAAAATAAGTCATGCAGCGTTTCAGTGACTGGTTTTCTACTGACATAAGAAACATCTATATATTTTAGGAACATAAATACATCCACACATGACTATAATTTGAGCTTTGTTGGCCTCTCTATGCTTTTATTCTTAATGTAAGAATTTTCAACTTATTTTTGTCCAATGCATTTTTCTCTGAATATTATTGAAATAAGGAGAAGCGAATTTTAAATGTGCTTCTATGATTAGTTAAAAGCATAGATCCCTTTCTGTTTCACTCAGTGAGACCTAAAAATGTAGTTCTAGGGACCTTCTCGACACTAGCCCTCAAAGGAGTTATAAATACTTGCACACTAATGCATCTCTGGAGAAGAAATTACCTGAAGAATGGGTATTGTGGCCTGGAATGAAGAGAGAGTGGGTTAGAGAAAATGGGGTTGAACTAATGGTTCCCAAGCCTTATTCTGTAAAAAGAAAAAAAGCACTCTAATTATCAATTATCCAAAACCTGAAAATATTAAACTTAAAGGACTGAATATTGTTATAAATATACTCTCCCTACTGTTTGGGGATAAAAAATCCTACTTTTGGGATTTTTGAAGTAAGACAGCAGTTTCACTGTATAGTTAGTGACCATAAGTCAATCTCTTCTCGCTTTAGTATTTGTAATTATTGTGATGCATGAAATCAAGGTGACCGAGAAACACTGTGTTGGCCAAAGGTGACAGTGCACAGCCAACCCAATGACCTTGGCTTCTAATTCCAGTGAGCCAATGAGTGTGTGTCCTAGAGCAAGTCAATATACTTATCTTGGTGTCAATGTTCTTATATGTAGAAATGGGCTTTACATTAGTATCTATTCAAGTGCTCTGCAGTTCAAAAATATGCCCCCTTCAAGTCGCATAGAATTATCAGTCATGATAAAATATTTCTACATCCCAAATGGTCTGTCATGGAATTTCTTTGTAAAGAATCTTCCCTGCTTTCGGTCATGTGCTCAAAGACAACTTCTATGAGAACACTTCACTACCAAAAATAATGATACATTATTCAACCTCTTGTTCACAGTGTGGAGGCCTCTATGAGTTTCTAAGTGGCACTTGAGGCACTTTGCTTTTCTACAATGTGCTAAGTTTTCAGAATCATTATGAGATAGAGGAGAGAGAGAAGAGGCAAGGGGGAGAAGAAAGGAAGGGAGGGAGGGAGAGAAGGAGGGAAGGAAGGAAGAGGAAGGGAGGGAAGGAGAGAGGTAGAGAGAGAGGTAGCTTTTGGTCTTTCCCAATTACACTTCCCTTTCTTCTCATCTATCTAATCTTCCCGAGTGCATTACTTAGATGTCCTGTTCCTACCTAAAGTAGATGCACAAGGATCAGAAATTAAGTGACATATGTGACTTACTTTAGGAATGCACTTTAGGACATGTGGAAACTGAAAGTATTACAGTAATGTCAGTTATTGATTTTATTTTCCCCAGATAATGACAAACTCAAAAAACAACACTTACAAAATCATAGTACAGCATTTAAGAATCAAGAAAGTAAACTTAAGTATATGGCGTTTTTTAAATGTTCTGTTGGTGCATAAAAAATTACTTTACATTTAGAACATATTTTTTTCTGAGAAATAAGTTATGAATTTAGATGTTTAGGGTAACCCTTGGGAAAATCAGCTTGCAAATGAAGGTAATTTACAATAAGAATTATTGGGGGAAATGTGACAGAAAAATATCTACAGGTCACTATTGAGTAATAAAATTAATTTTTTAAAAATTGATGTTAGTCTATATTAAGCAGACACTTATTGCTTATTGTTATTTTACCATAGTACCAACATATACACTAAAATAACTACAATATATTTTATAATATATTTTACTCTGAGCAAAAGCAGGTTAGGACTTGACATATGTGTGTGTCAACATACACGCTTATTTTGCATATATACACATATATGGGTTGCATTTCATAACATGATATATATGTATATATGTGTATACACACACACATATATATTTGGTAGGATATTAAGGACAAAATGAGGAGAGTCCTCAGGAGACGTAGGAGATAGGATGTGACTTTAAATAATTTCCACAATGAGTTTATAGGAGTTAATGACCCATGTGTCATAGTTAAATCACATCTCATTTTTGCTTTAAAAAAATCACACTTTCCAAGTGAGACCTTTATTCGCCATACGTGTGCGCTGTGCATGCTCTTTCTAAGTGGGCTAGTTTTGTTCTCATGCCATGGGAGCAGGTGGCATGAAGCTGTTTTGATGAGGTTAAAAGGCTCCTCCCCTCTCTCCCCAAGCAGCAGCCTGAAGTACGTCAGCAGTAATTGTGTGCCTGGCTCGGCTGCACAGGGAGGGTGGAGGCAAAATTGATATCAAATAAGGGTATCAAACTGAGGTCTGGATGTTCCATTTAAGTTGTTACACATTTTTATTAGACATGCCAGGGGTTAGAAGCTTATAAACATCCTGTGTAGTAAAAAAAAATATCTATTTTTGGTTGATTTATACTTTTCTTCTCCATAAAGACTGAATTAGTGTTGCAGTGGATATAAATGAAGGGGTTTCTTTATCCTCTTTTCATGATATTATTTACTAATCAGACTTTGGCTCAGACAGATAAAAGAGAGAGGTTCTGCTGCCTTGATGTGAGGCCTTTAATGAGGAGGGGAGGCCCCGGGGAGCCGAAACCCGAAGTAGAAAGATGCTGCTTGCAGGTTTCTTGTCCTTTCTTCAGTCGCTTCTTCCTTTTCCAATGGGCCTAGTGAGCAGGAACTATCCAAGGTGCTAGAATGCTGGCAGCTTTGCCGTTCAATGCAGACGGATTGCAGAAACAGAGAAGAAAGATTACTGCTTATTTCAGAAGGTAGGTTCTTTGTTTCAGAATCCCTGATTAATCAGCAGCAGCATCAACAGACTAAGGCAGCTGGAGAGGAGAGAGGGAGAAGCAGAAAGGGAGGGAGTCAGAGCAGGGAGGGAGGGAGGGAGGGGAGAGAGAGAATGAGAAGAGAGAGAGAGAGAGTTGGTTGTCACGGGGGAGGGACCATGCCACAAGCTAGGCTGCTCCAAACCTTCTGTATGTAAGTGGCAATGTGAAAGAGCATCTTTTTGGCTGAAAGGAGACATTTAGAGAGAATGTGGCTGATTTTTTGTTTTCATTTATTTTTGTCTTCACAGCATATAATCAAACGAGGCACCTTAGCCCGCCTGGGTGATCGCTTTGAGTCCTGTAATCATCTGTATAGCAAAGTGGGTAAAATCACTGAATTTCTTCCCAGCTGGACCTGGAAGGAGAGGGGCTGCGTGTTCATCCCCACCCATTAGCGATGCCCTCTTTTCTCTGAATGTCGACTTAAGGAAGCAAACACCTGTCTTCTGCCACCGTATCCTCCTAGAAAACTTTAAAGGCCATTTTATCTGGTAGGAAGAACATCAAGAATGCTCTGATCTCTAGTGATGAAGATTCTGGGAGTGGACACTTTTCCCATCCAGATACAATGCACTTTAATTGAAGAAAAACTGAGCTAACTACAGGTCTCTTTCTTATGGTGCTGGATTACTCCTACAGAGCTGCCCTGGGATCCACCGTGAGAGAGGGCTCTGCTAGACACAAGTCACCTCCTGATTATTGCACTTTGCTCTCCCTGGGGACTTAAATTTTGGTACGTATCTCATTTTTCAGATTCTCTAAGCATGCTAATTGAATCCAGCACTAAAGACACCAAGCAATCTGCTTATGAAATGGAATGGGTTTTAGCTGGGGATACTTGATGCTGAAGTTTGCATGCCTTATTATGTGGAGCAGAAATAAAGCCACAGTGAAGGCATCTAGAGCTTTAGTGAGCCTCAGGCTATGCTGTAGAGTCTTGCCCACTTAGTTCCATTACTGCAGAAATGGTTAAACCTGGATTTTCATCGGTAAAATAAGCCATGCTGAATTATTAAAATCATGATAAATATTTCCCAGTGTATTAATTGGCATTCATATTGTGCATGCTAGCTATTTGTCAGCTATTCTATACCATAAATATTTTACATTCTCAGGAAAAAAGACACTGTACCCCCCCACACACAAATTAGACAAACTATTAGACATACACTAAAGCTGAAATTGCTTTTTTCCCAACTCACTAGTCATAAACATCTTTAAGAAACACATATTTTAATACCACTTATTATCAGGAAGATTTCATTAGTCTCAGCACAATGGATATTTTCTATAGAACTTTAGGTGGACTTGTTTTACTTGGGACACACACTTATTTTGTTGGGGTGTCTTTATGGTAATTTCTCCAACTGCCAGCAATATTTTAAATATAAGAAATGTAAGCATTCCCTACCTGGAAGAAATATTACTTGAAATAACACTATCCCTTTTCATTGGAAAATTTTATAATTTTCTAATTAAAATGTTTTGGCATCACATAACTGGACTTTTTCTAAATATAGTCCAAAAATAAGGATATCCAAATGAAGAGTGTCTGTGATGTAGTTTTGGTCACTTTAACATGTAAGAATTTATAATCAAGTGTGTGGAATAATAACTGTAAAACAAGAGTGAAAATTAACTCCTCTCCTAATTCTTCACATTTTAAACAGTGCCCACCTTGTTGTCTGTATTGTCAAGTGGCTTAGCAAATTGATATGAGAAGACGTGAGCTACACACGCTGAAATTATTTTTATGTGGAAAGTGCAACATATGTTTGCCAACTCAGCAAAGAAGGGAACTCTGAGAAGGAAATCGACACTTTAGAAAATTAATGAAAACAGACATGAGAAAAATATTACAACTTCCCAGGGAACTCTAGAGAAGCTCAAGGACTTAGAGCATCTGAAAAGTTTAGAGGGAGAAGTGCAGGAATCTTATACACAGAAGACTGGCTATTGTTTGAAACAACAAATGAGTCGTAGACTCCCGATTCAATTAGATGGTGTGCATTGTCGGTCCAGTCGGCAATTTATTATACTGACTACATTTACTCTGCAAACACTGCCTTGCAAGCATCTGAAAACACTTGGCCAAAGGCTCAGAAAAGTATCTCAGCCATTGACATTTTGCATGAATCCCTAATGTTAGTGGAAATGTGCAGTCTCTTTAGGTCATGGGCAAATAGCACCATGACAACCTGGAAATTGGGGAGAAATTTCTGATTTATCATGCTACAACATTAACATGATCTAAGCCCATTTTACCCATTTTGGGGAAGGGAGAGGGTAGAGAAAAACTCACTGCAAAGTAATATGCTTTCTGAGAAAAAAGCAATCAGTGTCTTTGTAGTCACTTCCACAGGCTCTCTTGGTTTTAATGCTAACATTTCACATTTTGGGCAGAACAGCTGCATTTTGATGACAGTGAGAATGAGAAAATGAGCATGACAGTTTGTGGGGTTGAGGGTAGGGTTTCAAGCATAGTCAAAGTGAAATCACAGGACTTAATTTTGACAGATTATGAGATTTTTATCAGAAAAGCAATTTTGACATAGTTTACATGGGTTATAGATTATAACCAGGCAATGTAGTCTGTTGATTTGGTCCTATGTGAAGTAAGCAAATGTTAGAAATTAATTTGCATACATATTTTACATATGTATATGAATCTTGATTATTTAAATACTTATATTTTTCACAATGTGTTTTTAAATTGGTCTGAGTACATGCAAAAAATGTGAAAGATCTTTATCTCCTGGTGGACAAAAAATATAGTCAACAATTGCCTTGGAAAACTTTTATTTGGATGAATTTGCACTATTGGGCAAAATACAGTTCTTTATCTCAAAGAAGATGCAGTGACTAGAATGGGGGTAGATCAAATTTTAATAACTTAAATTGTAATAACTTCCTCAAAACATGGAGACAGGTGTGGTTTGAAAACTTCAGAAATAGCTAAGAGGTGGAGACCAGAAAACCTTACCTTGTGCAAATAAAATACAATACATAAATGTGAAGTAAAGGTGCATGTCTGGGTTTTCCATCAGCAAATGTATTCATTGTCTATTTTTTTATTTTCCCAGACAATGCAAATAACATTATAATAACAGCACAAAATAAACTGTAGCTGCCTCATTAACTTCCAGGATTAACTGTGCCCTAACATTTAAGAAGCTTTTCAAGGAACTGGGGAGGAGTTCTCTCCCTAACAAGTGGTTTTGTGCTTCTACCACTTAGTGGATGTGAAAAATAATTGGATTCATGGAGATTTCCTAACTTATGGTCTTAGACAACCAAAGTTTTAGATGGAGAACAGCTCCCTTTCCGAAATTCCAAGTAAACATTTGAAGAATAAAAAAGAAAAGAACCAGCACCCATGAGGGCCAGTGGACTAATTCACAGATGGTACAGGTACATGAGGAGCCTGCTTCTGGTAAACCATGGTGAGTGGCCCGTAGGAAGGTTCTGCCTGAGAAGTAAGAGCCTGTCCTTACGCAGCCTCCGTGGTTGATGTCACAATGCATGGACTACATTGAAGAAGGAATTTGTTCTGAATTTTAGAAAGAAAAAGAGAAGTACTTTAAAATGCATCTTAGTATTTATCTGACTTCTTTTTTTTGCCTCTTCAACAATGCCTATAATTAATAAAAAATCTTCTACATCATAGGGAAGCCAATCTTGATATCAGTTAGTGCCACATTAAATATGCTTTGGTGAAGTGAGGCCACACATAATTGATTCCTTGACTTACAAAGGAAATGACCCATGCAAAGGTATGATCTTTAAGTTTTCACAAGTGCTTATTTCTCAAAAATGTGCTCCAATTTTGGGGGGTGGGGCTTTAACCCTAAAAATCATGTAGTATCTCAGCTTTTCGAGTTCCTTGGGTACAAGTAGTGGCTACAGAAACAAGAATAAAATAAGTGAATTTTTTTGTGTGTTTCCATGGGTTCCACTTGGATATCCTTATGCATATTTTAAGTTCCACATATACATGTTCTAGATAGTTTGATTTCAGTGGAAACATTTTAAAGAGATGCAATGCTACTTTCAGCTCTAGGCTCAGCATTGGAAGGTATAGTGATACTTTTCCACAAGAGAAAATTAATAATGGTCAGTTTAATAAAAAGTTAGATGTTTAGGTTTTTAATATAACCCTAATCCCACCAGTAGGAATTGATGTATGTTAGCTGAGTAGAGTGAAATTTCAAATTTTGGCAAGTCTCACTGTTTTGTTTGGGAGTGTTAGTGAGGAAGGGTGTGGTCAATAGGAATATAATAAAAAAGTGAAATAATAAAATAAAATAGAGGTATGGTTTGTATTAGAATGACAGTGATTCTCAATACAGTGATCCAGGAATTAAAGAAAGGCAAATTCTTACAAATGCAGAATATAGCAATTAAAAAAAGAGTCAAACAATTTGTATGGCAATTTTGATCTTGGTCATTTTAGGTGCTTTCCCTGGAGAGTCCCTGACACAAACTGTAAATATTGACCAGAACCTCCAAGCAAAAGGACACAGTCACAGAGGCCTTGCACTATTTGAATCAATGCTGTGCAGTCCAGGGAAAACCTATCTGCCCTGTGGGTGCCAGCTTTCATCCAGTGCTCTAGGTGGGACTAAAATGTCTAATTTGTTGCGAGCAAAATTGGCTGCAGACAGAAACTAGTTCAAATAAAGGGGCTAAAGGTACAAATGCAAGATATTTCCCTCCATCTCACCCACTCTGTTGTCACAAGTATCCCATGAAATAATTTGAGGTCTAGAATGTTGGATTGATTGATTGATTGATTGATCAGTATCTAAAGATGCTACCTGAAACAAGGAGCCCATTTGCTCCCTAACCATGGTCTCTTAAAATGCAACTTCAGGAATTAGGTGCCCAAGTCAAGTCTTCATAAAATGCTTTGTTTATAGGATTTTTCATTCAAAGGCCAGAAATGAACTTGATTTAATATCCGACATTCAAAATGCAGCCAAGTTTTTAGTGGTAAAAAAAGCCACTTTATTTAGTATCTATCTTTGCCATAAATATAACCGTTTGAAAGATAAATAGATTTATGATCCTACTTGGCTGTGGGTTCTCACTGCAGGAAAATGGTAGCAACCGTAGCGAGGCAGACAATTAACATACGGTTCACTTCTCGTTAGTGAGGCCAAGAATGTCCTCATTCAGAGTTCAGGGGCCTGAGAGATGCCTTTGGATTGGGAAAGATGGAGTCAGAATGTTTTGAGAGACAGGGATGGAATCTGTGGGACATACACCCCCAAACCCTTCTTTTCTGGTTGTGGAACATGGGGCAGCAGAGAGGAGTGGCCTGTCCCCATGCGCCTGGTTAGCGCAAATCAGTTAACTCCTTCACGGGCCTTCATTTGTGTATCTGTAACGAAGAAAGTTGAACTGCACTGAACATTCTACTGACTTATGTTTCAAGGTGAAAATGTGTTTTTTGAGAAGTTATAACTAAACATCACAATGTTGGTTAAGAATTGTGAAAACTACCCGATAATTATGATCCTGTTCACTGACCACTTCATGCCTTTTCTAACAACAAAAAAAGCAAGTCCTGTTCCAACCGCCATTTGAAACATGGGGAAACTAAAGCTGAAAGAGGCGAATTCACGTGCACAGAGTCGGAGGTCTAAGGGGTGGTGTGAGTGGGGTTTTCAGGCCATGCTGCTCAACTCTCCAGCTCTGCCCTTCACAGGACGGCCTCACTGCCCACCCCACCCTTGCCTTACCAAAGGTTTTCCATGTAGACAAGGAAGCAGAGAAGGGTGATGGTTAAACATTAGTATGGTCCAAATCTATTTTTAATTTTAGCTTTTGAAGACTAGATATAATTGTTGAAAAGGCTTTTTCTGTTCATTCTCAAAAATGGTGACCATAAACCATGACACACTAGTAAATGCCAACACTGTCACCTGAACCAGTGCTCTCGTCATACTGAATTGAAGTTGTTTACTCCTTGTGCTCTTATGCCGCAGTGTGATGGTCTAGAGGAAGACAGTTCTGCCTTTGTCAGTGCCTGGTTTGTACGAGGTGCTCAAGACATACTTGAATACATGAATGATTGTAGAATCAAATACTTCAATAGAACTAGATGACATAAGTGTGTTCACAAAACACTAATTCACTTTTCACTGCTCTGAAGTTTTACTAGATTTTATGGTTGATTTTCACCTCCCAAATTTTCATCTCCATTAAAAAAAATCTAACAATACAACTGTTCATAGTATAAATATTTTATGATGCCATTATGTAGTATTTTTTCAGAATAAACATACTTTAAACTCCAGCCAATGTGAAAGACTACTTAAGAAGATAATTAATTTTCAGAGGCACACAATTAACCTTGTCAGAGTTAGGAATATATAAACTGTATAAAGAATCGCTAGTGTCATTTGGATGGTGAGGAAAATGTAAGGGAAGAAATAAAAACCTATGAGTAATGCCTTACACAATGGAAAATATACAATTTTGCTGGAGGGCAGAGTGGGAGTGATAATCTTTCACCCTGGGGCATTACCTCTAGATTCCTTGTAATACTGACTTGGCTTGCTTAACTGTGGTGGAATTAATTGCCATAAAGTTATGCGGATCTTTTTTTATCCAGGCTTGCTTAGTGCTGAAGTCCTTGGTAGAAGTGAATTTTCAATAATGGCAATGCTTTCGCTTCCCGAGAATCATGTTCTTGCATTTTTTTCCCGAAAATTGCGATCATTTGTAGCAGTAATTTTCTATTCCTCTGTATGTCCACCACTTAAGCATCTAATCTGATGGACTGATATTAAAATACAATTCAATTAGGTTAGATAGTTAAAATTAAAGACCATTTCATTTGCCAGCCCGCTGTGGCTGAGAGTCAAATCAAACATAATAAAACTTAACATAACAAAAAAAATCATGAGTCAACAAATAGCTCTTCTATCCTCTAGATTCAATAATTTCACCCAAATTGGGGGATATATCCTTAAATTCAGTGTGAGTTTCAAATAACATATGGATTGACTGGCAGCTAAAATGCTAATAAACTGTGGTAAGAAGTGAAGTTTCCATAGCTACAATCCAGGTTATGGAACACGATTACACTTGTAAAAAAATCAGAATAAACATGATTTGCAATGGCAGAAATGAAAGTCTAGGACTTCAACAGTAAATAGTTGGGCTGATATTTTAAAAATATTTTGGAGCCTTTTGAAGAAAATAAAAGAGCTACAAAGGTAATATATATTTTTAAATGGCCGACTTGTCCCCTTGTTGAGTGTGCTTTACATTTTTCAACCTGACTCAATTATGCCAATTTCCCATAATACAGTGAACATGCAGGTGGAGACAGTAAGACTTATTAAGCTAGAGAGGTAAAATACTTACCTCATGTGTAATTAATTAAACTTCAGTTCTATTTTTGATTGACGAAAGCACATTCCTTATTCCCTGGTTGTACTGATTTCTGTGATTGGCTGGCTCTATAATGATTTTCATAGCCTGCTGGCCATCCATCCACTCATTCATCTATGCCCATAAATACATTTGAAACTGTTATTGCTACCAGTCTTCCTCCTACACTTTTACTAGAATATTAGCTAACATTATTATATGCTTACTAGTGTTGAACTCTGTGCTAAATCCTTTACAGTCATCACCTCTCTTGGTCTTCACAGTAGCAAGTGGTAAGAGAAAGTATGCCCATCATTTATTTAGTAAGTGAGCGTATTATGTGTTGGTTCAAAGTCCTATGTTGTTGTTGTTGTTGTTTAGATCTGATTTTGGTTTTCAGGAATCCTTTCTGTGGCTGAGGTTTTGAACCCTTCATGTGGCAATGATGACCACAGTTGTCCTTGCTTGAATTACGAGACGAGTCAGGATTAACGTGGTCCTGGTGACCTGTGATATCTGAGTTAAAGTGCCAGGCCATTGGAGAGAGCCATTTTGAAAAATAAGGAAGGGTCCAAAGGGATTACTGCCAAAACAAATGGTATTAGAAATGTGTATTTGCTTGATGACCACTGTATTTTGCACGGAGAGTTCAGATTCATAAACTGAATTTAACATTGAAAGAAAACACAAATGATGCGAATGTTTCTTCCAAATAATTATTATATCATTTTATTTAAAATTGAACAGAAAAGTTTGTATGGTAATTAGAAATACATGAGGCTGGGATCCTATACGTCTCGTTGGTATAAGAACACATTTGTGAGGAGCCGAATCAGGACTCTACACAAACCAAATGCTTTTCTTCATGTACTACACAGTCTGATGTCATCTTTCCATGTGAAATCTTCGCCTTTTTTTCCCTGATAGTTGGTTACTTTGAGGAACTGTTTGCTACTCAGGCAACATTCATTTAATATTTACTTGGAATATTCTGCTCGTTTATAATTTCCAAATTGATTTTACCATGGTCATTGGAGTTTGGGGCTGACAAGACATTAGGAAGAATCAGCGGAACCCTTTCACCTCCGTTTGTTCTCGTCCTGCAGGAAGTGTTCCTTTTCACATGAGATCCTCCAAGATGATGAACGCCAATCCGGAGGAAGACCCTTTGGACACGTTTCTCCAGTACATCGAGGACATGGGAATGAAGGCCTACGACGGCCTGGTAATCCAGAACGCCTCGGACATCGCTCGCGAGAACGATCGCTTAAGGAATGAAACCAACCTGGCCTACTTGAAGGAGAAGAACGAAAAACGCCGAAGGCAAGAAGAAGCAATAAAACGGTAAATATAAATGAAAGTGTTTTGAGTTTTGCACTCCTCAGGAAATCTGTGAGTGGTGCCAAGGTGGTGATGCTGCCGCCTGGCGTAGACTCAGTGAGACGGAGTGAAAATGGCACCTCGGCTGTCACAGAAACACACCCATCCTGTTGGCTAGATCCTCACCTCAGTTACCAAAAATTACTGACTTGAGTGTTGTGCTGTGAAGGTGCCGATGGGATGGAGAAAGACTCCAGTGTCCTCTAAATAAAAATTCATAATGAGCAGTCTCTTGATAAAAGCCCAAAGGAACCCACAAACACTTTAAGAGCTAATGCTTGATGAAAACTCCCACCTTTTGTGGTCTTTGTTTATAGTTCTGACATTATGACAGGCATCATCCTCTCCCCAGGTTGCAAAGAGACTCCTCATTAATTAGAATTGTGTGAAGACAAGTGTGGCTCCGTGTGTGCGTTCTGTACAGAGTTTTATGGCCATGGCAGCTCTTGTTTGGTACCAAGTGCCCCAGGTTTGCTCGAGTGATGTGACTTGTGCTGCAAAACCCGCTGGCAGCAAGGCAGGGCGCCCCACATTGCAGCTTCCAAACCGAGGCTAAGTGTCCTAGGGCCCTGAGATCAAAAGGAAAGCAGACATCTTTTCACTTTTCCAAAGAATATTACCGTGTTCCCAGTGTGTATGTTTGGGTGTTTAAGGGGTGTGGGTAGAGACAAGTGTTTGATGGAGTCATATTTCCTCAAGGGAGTTAGTAAGTGCAAAGATACAGAATTTAGACAATTAATCCAACTCTATTATCTGGATAATTGAATAATAACAGTTAAGCCATTTTGATAATTAAATGGTGGATTTTTCATCCAAATCAGGCATTAATATTTTTGTTTACTCTCTGCGAATATGATGATGTTAAGGGAAAATATTATTTTAAGACAACTATTCATGGTTATAGAGAAGCTAGGTAAGGATGCACTACTTTGATAATTTCATTACAAATAAAATCACATAGAAGTACACTTCTAGGCGAAGTGTACCGCCAGAGATGTGAGCCATGTAGCTTACCTGTTGCAAGAGAATTCTAAGCAGAAACAACAGCAAGTTCAATGCATTCCATAAAGAAACATCATGTAGTGGCCAAGCCAAAGACTGGAAGGATGTAAGTGCAGACTGGTCGTGGGCCACCATGCGATGTAGAGACTTATAAACTCTTATGTCTTATTCAGAGGGAGAAAAACATTCACAGGAGATTTTTAAGCAATGGTGTGGCATGCCCTAACTGAATATTTTACATGGATGGCTGTATTCTTTGTATTAAATAGATAGGTGGGTAATAACTGGATGCAAGAAGTTCAAAGGGAAAGCTTTTAGTATAATCTGGGTGAGAAATGATGGTGATTTGGACTAGGACAGTAGCAGTCAAGGTGGCATAAAATAATCAAATTATGGGCATCAGGATTTTCTAATGGATGAGATGTAGAAGCTGAGGAAAAGAAGAGAATTAAAGATGGTTCTCAAGATTTTTTTTTGATGTTGCTACATTGTGTTTTTTTTCCTAAACAACTAGAAGAATGATGTTTCCACTTAACGAAATGATCTAAACTGGAAGAGGAGTAAGTTTAGGTTAAATGGTGTCATAGGAACTCAGCTTTGACAAACCAATTTTGTAAGCCTTTCGAGACATCCAAGTGGAGGACTCTGGATAAACTGTTGCATCCAGGATTCATGGTGGAGATCAAAGGCGGTCTCAGTCTGCAGCATCTCAGCCTGTAGATTTCACAGTCACGGGCCTTGCTGAGAATACACAGGACCAAAACTCAGATACAGATGGCGAGAACAATCAGGACCATCCTTGGGGCCACCTGATTGGTTACTTGAAAGGAGCAGTAGAAAAATCCAGCAAGAACAGCCAGGGAGAGAGTCAGAGAACTACAAAAAGGGCAGCACCTCTGAGTAAAGTGACAGAAGTGAACAAAGAGGAGAGAGTGTGTGTGATTTAACGACACTATGTCGAAGCCTGGGAATTGACCGACACCTTTTAGCACATTGGTGTTGTCCACAAGACCGCTTTCTGTGGATGGCTGAGGAAGAGACCCCACTGGGATGGGGTTCACAAAGGAGTGGGAAAGAGGCATTGCAACACAATATAGAGAACTACTTTGAAGATTGAGGTTAAAAACTATTTCAAGAATATAAAGGGTGGTTGAAGGGGGTGGGGTTTTTGGTAAATGTTTGTTTTTCCATTGTTTTTCCTTTAAGAAGAGAGAAATGCAGCTTGTTTAAAATACTAATATGGAAGTAGAAAGGGAAACGTTAAGGACTTAGGAGAAGGAAGGGAATCTACCGTGATCACGCCTTTGCGCAGGGGAGAAAGGGTGGGATCTGCAGTGTCTCAGATGGGAGTGCAGCCGCTCCGCCATCGTGGGAGAAGGGAAGCCACGGCGCACGGAGGACTGAATGCTGAATAAATGAATGAGTGCGCCTGCATAAACAGGCCCCAGACCTGGGTCCTCACACACCAGACACCGTTTCGTAATGGTGCTCCTCGTTGTTGCATGTGCTAGGGAATGAAAGGTGCAGTATGTGTCTTGCTATCGACAATTCTTCCCACGGTTTCCTACACCCTTCCCCCAGATATTTTTCTGGAACCCTAATTTAAAATGCTAATGCCTTTGGAAGGGAAAAAAGTACTAGTCCGAAACTGTTGGGACTTCTCAAATGTCTTCCACTTCGCAAAGCAGGACCCTGAGCAGCAGGAGGACACAGCCGCCTCCGGAGTGGTTGGGGGAGAGGCTGGAAGGAGAAAAATCGGAGGAGCCAAAGGGCTGATGATTGGACAGGAGGCGGGGACTGACTTGTGTGGCTTAGTGCCTCCACTGGCTGCGCTGCAGATCTTAGGTTACCCCATCGCGGTATCCATTGAGAGGTCCAAATTCGATCTCATTCCGTCCTTATCGTGATCAGTATCCTGGGGTTCTGACAGTTAAAAATGTAATAATTTTCTATATTATAGAAATCCTCATGGTATATATTTAGAGTTGCTTAAACATTCATAATAGGCGCGGGCTGCAAACCAAAGTGTCGCAGGTTCGATTCCCAGTCAGGGCACATGCCTGGGTTGCAGGCAATGACCCCCAGCAACCGCACATTGATGTTTCTCTCTCTCTCTTTCTCCCTCCCTTCCCTCTCTAAAAATAAATAAATAAAACCTTTAAAAAACCATTCATAATAGGAAACATATTTTTAATATTTTTAAAAAACTTCATAGCACGACCCTGGTTCCATAGGCATTTGGGGGGGGCTCAGGGATGGTCACAGGAGCAGAACACCCTTATCTAAATTCCACATGTATTTTAATACTTTTAACACACAATTTATGTCCAAATGGGAGGGAAAACTCCATGTGATGTTAATGAATACAGTCTACTCAATTAAAATTCTCTCATGTCCACAGAATGCCTTCTTTGGTACACAGTATGATTTAATGTATAGGATGGAACTGCTCCAAATCGAAGGATGGGCATGTTTGACCTTGAAAAGGCATGGATGCTAATTCTCTGTGAAATATGCCAGTTGCAATTTCAGAAATGTGCAGACTGGCAAGGATTGCCTAAAAAATGGAAATAGGATTTCATATGATTGACCTTCTGGATCACATATGTGCTGAAATGCCTTTTGTGCTGAAGCTGAGAAGCTTAAAACACTGAGCTCTTAGAGAAAAAAAAATCCTCATCACTTTCTCAGTGTTCTAAGTCACTTAGGCTTTCTGAACCCAGTTCCTTATTTTTCAACCTAACTTGAGCCACATGTCGCCATGGACTTTCTTATTCCTTCACTTCCATTTCTCAGATAGGATTTTACCGAAAAGTCTTGTGGTGGAAAATTCTAAATAAATAAGAAGATGCTATTTGTGCTTTTTTCTTAACTGCTCCAAATAATATTTGGTGAGAAAGAGAAAGACCTAAGACAGAGAAAAGCTAATGGAGAATAAAAACTTACTTCAGTAGCTCATCATTTCTGCTATTTTAAATCCTAACGGCTTTGTGCAGGCACTGTTAAATGACATTTACTTTTTGTTAAGATGCCTAGAAGAAAACAAACACACGAAACCAACAGCTTCAAATAAATGCACTCCCCTGAGATGCATCACAAAACCCCGGCTTGTCACACGTGTGTGGGTGAAAAGGGACATTTAAGGAAGAGGGACGATGGGTATATTGATTGAAATGTTGACTCAGCACAGGCACCAGCCATTAGGAAGGAGACACCTGAACAATGAGCGTGGAGTCTGGCCACAAACAACCTGTAATAGGGCAATACCTCTGTGTTCCTGTGAGCATGAGTCTTGATCAGGAGCCTCACCATCTATAGGTAGCATCTTGTATAGAATACCAAGTGAGGTCATTCGTGGAGGGGGATGGGCAATCAAAAGATCATCTGGTATGCCAACGGCATGCTTAAGTTTGAGGCTTTCTTTCAAGTGAAGGCTTTCTGGATTCTGGAACTAGTCCCCGCACTATCTTACTTTGCCATCCACCACAGTATTTTAGAAACTACAGCGTGGCTGTCAAAGGGAAAGAGGGGTGGAGGGAGGTTGAGAAGCGTAAAGGGGTTCAAATGTACGGTGACAAAAAAGACTTGACTTTTGATGGTAAACACAGAATGCAATCAACAGATGATACATTGTAGAGCTGTACAGTTGAAATGTATATAATTTCATTAACCAACATTACCCCAATAAATTGAATAAAACTTTACAAATCTAGGAAATAGTCCTAAATAAAGGCAACCCGAAAATTTGTTCCTAGTACATGTGTTTCTGAGTATGTTTTTTATTATAGGGAAGGGCTGCATTTTTTTTCTAATGAAACAAATGTTACATTAGTGAAATTCTCCCAAACATTGCAAATCTGGAAGACAGCTCTTGACTTTAGCAAAGTGGTTCTGACACAAAGGACTACTTAGGCTGATTAGGAATGTCTCTATTCCCTTTGGATGCCCTCAAGGGATCTATA